GGGAAGTGAAACGGATGAAGAGGTGATATGTATACGCACCAATTCCCAAGATGGCTGAGTTCGTTACGTGCCACAAACATGTACAGGACAGAGAAGTCATGTAGGGAAAGGAGACTCAGGCCCCTGACACACACCACCACCACCCCCGCCAGACTCCCCAATCCTCCAGACGCCTCTGCTTGGCATTGCACCCTGTATGCCAGCTGCCCCATTCTTGTCCTTTCCTTGTCACAGCAAGAAAGGGGACAGTGTCACCCACTGCTCTCCCAGCATGGATCCATAAGAGGGACTGGACTCAAACTCCTTGGATAAGGGGGACAAAATGGCCCTGTGACTGTAGCCTCATAGGCCCTGGAAGACACACAGCCTACACTGTGGCCCCGGCACCTACTGGCACCTTAGGTATTTGGGCCATATCTTCATAGTTACCAGAAGCAACTGTTTATGTTCATTGCCCACCTGGAACCAGAGCTCTAAAGCCAGCAAAGCCCCCCTCGCGGGCCCCCACGCGCAGGCTGAAGGAAGGACTGAGCTCAGGTCTCCATGTCACATCCAGGTGGTCTTTTCCTGAGTGACTGCCACTTCCCTAGGGCAGGGGGCAGGCCCGGGCTTCCCAAGACCTAGCAGCTAGCGTGGGTACTGGCACAGGGTTCCTGGCCAGAGCGCTGCAGGAACGAAGGAATGACTGGGAAGGGGAAGTTCTGTATTTAAGCAGGTATCACAAGAGCTGCGCTTGGTGATGCACACCTGTAATCCCAGGACTCTGGGAGGCTGAGGCAGGAGGATTGGAAATTCAACCCCAGCCAGGCAACTTGGCAAGTTAGTGAGATCCTGTCTCAAAATCTAAAAGAGCTAAAAGTGTAGTGGGCTGAAGGCCCTGGATTGTATCTGAGCACTGGGGGTGGGAGGGGAAGCACATGAGCATCTTTTGTGTAAAATTAGAACACAGATGGTCTTACTGTTTTTGGTTTGTAGTTATTTAGTTTGTTTGAGACAGGGTCTCACTATCTAGCCCAGGGTGGCCTCAAACTCACAGCAATCTTCCTGCCTCAGCCTTCCAAGTGCTGGAATTAGCAGCATGCAGCACTCACACTGAGCTCGTCTTCCACAGTGTTAGACCTGGTGTTGCACCATCGGGACTGGAGTGGGCACGCAGAGCCTCAGGCAGGCACGGAACCTTCAAACTCTGCTCCACGAAGCATCTTCTCTGTGCCTAACCTGTTCCAGGCACCTGGAGGTGGCCAATCCGCTGGAAGTGCAGACCAAGAGGTGGGGGCCCCTTGAGGCAAACAGGTGGGGCTGATCCATTAGTGGAAGGGTGTCATGGTCCCCCAGAGGTGGTATGTGCACTGCGGCCTGGTGCAGGAGGTCAGAGCGGAGCCCTGGTCCTGCTCTCCTCCCCACATCCAGGCGAGACATTTCCACAAGCTGTCACTACTGCAGGTCGCATCAGAGTGCGAGTGAAGGTAGAAAACTGCCCCTTTCAGGAGCCAGGAGTTTAGCTCAGCAGTGTAAGCGCCCGCCTGGCAAGATCAAGGTTGTGAGTTTGATCCCTGGTACAAAAACACAGAAAAATGAAAGGAAACTGTACTTTTTATCCCCAAGGCTGCTGCAAAGGTTGGCGGAGGAGCCGGAGGTGTCACTAAACCGAATTCTCTACACCTTGTAGCTTCAGAGTGGGGCCGTGGTGACTGCGGCCAGGCTGGGATGAGGGGACCCCAAAACAGCTCTCTCTGCAGCAGTGGTCCGCTCAGTCCTCACTATTGTTGCTGTGACAGGATATTGACTCTGTCTTAGTCCACGTCTGCCAGCCAAGTGGGGTTTGGAAAAGCCTTCGGAGGAGCAGCTGCTCCAGAACCCTACGGGACTAACCCATCCTGACCACATCTTAGGGGCAACCACACTGTCACGAAGACAGAAATGTCTAGCTAGGGTGCAATGAGCTTTCTTTCTTTTTTTTCTCCTGAGATTGAACCCAGGGCCTTCACACTGAGCTACATTCCAGCCCTTTTGGAGAACGGGGTCTCTCTGAATCACTGTTAGGGATCAAACTTGCCATCCTCCTGCCTCAGCCTCCTGAGTGCTGTGGGGATCATTAGATGTGCCCACCAGACCCAGCCAACACTGCACGTTCAGGGGTCAAGGAGCTTTGGGATGGCTAAGCTCCGCCAGGGGCCAGCAGCCAACAAACAGCCAGCAACCCAGACCCTCCATCACACAGCCACAGGGAAACATGCTTGCCCCAGTCCCAGTGAGGCCAGAAACATGTTCTTCCCCAGCTGCACCTCCAAATGAATATACACACAGAGTGCAGTAGTGCATGCTAGTTATCCCAACACTCAGGAGGCTGAGGCAGGAGGATCACCACAAGTTCCAGGCCAGCCTGAACTATGCTGTGAGACCTTGTCTCAAAAAACAAAAACAGGGGGCTGGGGATTTAGCTCAGCGGCATAAGCGCCTGCCTTGCAAGCAGGCAGTCATGAGTTCGATCCCTGGTACCAGTAAAAAACGAAAAAGACAAAAAAAAAAAAACAAAAACAAAACAAAAACAAAAACAAAACACAAAAAACCAAGTATGTTATTTATAACTTCAGTTTAAAATTTCAAAAAAGGGCTATTGTTCCTCCTCTTTTTTGTCCCCCCACATTCCCTGCTTTCTGTTCACACCTCAGAGAAAATCTTGCTGTAGATAAGAAGCCAAATGGATGTTTCTTTATATTCTTTAACATTTCCCTTTTTAAATTTTTATTTAAATGATATTATGTACATTGTATGCCACTCTAGACCTTTTTTATTTGCTGCTATGACAAAATACCTGAGACCAGATAATTTGTGTATGTGCGTGTGGTCTTTTTTTGTGGGCAGGGGGTTTGAGACAGAGTCTCACTATGTAAGTGCAGCCTGGCCTTGAACTCACTGTGTAGACCAGACTGGGTTTGAACTCATGGGGATTCTCCTGCCTCAGCCTACTGAGTGCTAGGATTACAGGCCTGCGCCTCCACATCCAGCTCCAGGCCAATTTATAAACAAAGAAATTCATTTTTTCACATTTCTGGAGGCTGCAGTCCAAGGTTAGAGCTAGCATTTTTGGTTTTGTTTTGTTGTGCTGCTGAGATTGAACACAGGGCCTTCCCACTGGGTTACATTCCCAGCCTTTTATTATTACTGTTATTTTTTAAATTTTGAGACAGGTTCTTGGTATATCACAGTTTACCCTTTCCAAACTGAATATGAACAGATAAGAACAAGGTAAGCGGCCGAGCAGTTCCTGTATAGCCAGCACCCAGGCCGTGAAATCAACAGACAGCAAGGAGCCCGGCCTCCTCAGCTCCAGGAAGCTGCCACTTGGATGCGACTCCAGCTGAGACCTCCCCTCACCCCCTCCGAGACTCGGACAGAACCAGGCCTTGCAGCACCTGCCTTTCTAGTGCAGCCTTAGCTCCTGCACTGTGTCCTTAGAGCACTTAGCTTGCACCTGCATGATGCTGTTCAAAGCAGGGCCCCAGTGTAGCTCAGGCTGACCAAGGACTCACCTCATCCTCATCCCTCTATCTTAGCCAAAAGGCCAAGAAGCAACACCTGTCCTTTTGGATCTTTACAGAAAGGGAATTATGTTATTCTTTTGTGACCAGCTGCTTTAGTTCAAGATTATTTTAGCCAGGCATGGTGGCACATGCCTCTAATCCCAGCATGTGGGAGGCTGAGGAAGGAGGATTCCCACAAGTTTGAGGCAAACCTGGGCTATACAGTGAGTTCAAGGTCAGCCTGGACTACATAACAAGATGCTGTTTTAAGAGAAAAAAGACTGGGGCTGGGGATTTAGCTCAGCGGCATAAGTGCCTGCCTTGCAAGCAGGCAGTCGTGAGTTCAATCCCTGGTACCAATAAAAATGAGAAAGACCAAAAATAAATAAATTAATTAATTAATTTAAAAAAAGAGAAAAAAGACTATGCAATCTAACCATGCTACTTCGTGACACTTTCATTTGATCATTTTATTGTTGTGCTATTTCCACTGAATTAATAAACCACAACTTATTTTTCTATATTTCTTGGGTATTTTTCCCCCTAGTATAGGGGCTTATTAAATTGCCCACACTGGGCTCAAATTTGTGATCCTCCTGCTGGGATTATAGGAGTGTGCTGTCAGGCCTCAATATTTTTCTATATTACTATGCATGGACATTTAAGGTTTTTTGTGGGGGCTGGACCTCACTCAGTGGCATGATTAGTGTGTACAATGTTTGCTCCCCAGCATCAAAAATAAAGCTTCCAAACTGGGCCTGTAATACGAGGGTCACTGCGAGATGGAGACCAGTCTGGGCTACACAGCAAGACTCTGTCTCAGAAACACCACAGTGGGGGAGGAGGTTTGCAGTTTTGCTGTTTTAGAAACAGCTCTGCCATCAACACTGACTTACTAACCCTGCTGCCCAAGCCAAGGCGTCCTTTAGGGCCGGGGATTTAGCTCAGTGCTGTAAATGCCTGCCTGGCAAGTGTGAGGCATGAGGTTGTGAGTTCAATCCCCAGTACAAATAAAAAAATTAAAAAAAAAAAAAGGCTTCAGGCCTCCTTCGGGGTCCTCCTCCACACCAGGTACAAGCGTCTGGCATTCTGTGCTCATGCCAGGCTGTTTTGCTGAGCCACCTACCTCTACCCCCAGCAGCCAGGAGTGTGGGTTCCAGAGCCTGACTCCTCCAACCACAGTATGGAACACAGGCTGTGCAGGGCTGAAGTCTGACCACACTGATGGGAACATAGTGGTTTCCATTATTTATTTTAGAGACAGGGTCACGCTATGGAGATCAGGCTGGCCTTGAACTCATTTGGTAGCCCCGGCTGGCCTCAAACCCGCAGCAGTATCCTCCTGCTTCAGCCTTGAGAGTGCTGGAGTCAGAGGCATTGCGCTCCATGACCCCCTGGATTTGATTGATCTGATTGGTAAGATCTCACTCTGGTGCTTGCCCTTTAACCTTGCAAATGGATCTCACACACAGGATGAGGCACTCACCTTGAATTATAAAGAGATGACAAAAGGACAGTGGCACTACCTTTGTCACTAATAGACTGGCCAGAGCCCAGGGGGTTTGATAGCCCTGTGTTGGCATCAAGTGACAGATGCAGAGTGATCACTGCAGAAACAGTGAGTGTGTGGAGAGTTTGGCATCTCAAACGCACTCTTCTCTAATGCCCGGAGAGGCTGAGACAGGAGGATCTCCATGAGTTTGAGGCCAGCCTGAGTATGTAGTGAGTTCAGGTCCAGCCTGAACTACTACATTGAGACCATGCCTCATACAAACAAACAAACAAAAAAAGCAAAACAAATAAATGCATGTGCGGTATGAGGCACCATTTCCCGTCTGTCTTGGAATTTATCCCAGGGATAGACTCACTGATGTGTCCGATGATACACTGGAGGACATTCACAATGACATTGTAACAGCCAAAGACCACAAGTGCCTGCAGACTGAAGAATGGCTAAACATTTTATGCTACAGGTATCTTTTTTATTTTATATGAAAATAAAACAAACTTTCCAAGCAAAATATTGAGAATAAAAACAGTTAAAACATGCCAGGGATGTAGCTCAGCGGCATAAGCGCCTGCCTTGCAAGCACAAGGTCATGAGTTCAATTTCTTTTTTTTTTTTTTTTTGCTTTTTCGTTTTTATCAGTACCAGGGATTGAACTCACGACTGCCTGCTTTCAAGGCAGTTGCTTATGCCGCTGAGCTAAATCCCCAGCCCCCATGAGTTCAATTTCTAATACCAAAAAAAACAAAAAAAGAATAGTTAATACACTGTACTTTTATCGTCAAAGCAGTTACTGGAGTACAAGGCATAGACACACAAGATTCTTGCAAAAAAGAAACATAACACAAGCTGTCTTTTAAATGAACTAAGACAAATTAGTAATATAAGTGAAATGAATTGGGATCCATATTAAAACACTTGAAATAGTAAAGTAGGTAACTCAAGGACTTGAAGTTTCTCCTGCTTCCTATTTATCTATCTTCTAGTTTGCTCTTTTGTACTGGGAATTAATTTTGGTGGGATGGTTTTTATGTGTGTGTGTGTCTTTTTGAGACATGGTCTTGCCCTTGAGCTCACTTTGTAACCCAGGCTGGTTTCAAACTTGCAATAATCCTCCTACCTCAGCCTCTTGAGTGCTGGGACTACAGGCATGCACCACCACCTCCAGCTGTACTGAAGGTTGAACCCAGGATCTTGTGTATATTAAACATGTGGTTCAAAGCTGAGCTACATCCCCACACCTCCTTTATTTCTGAAATAAAATAAAATTCTCTTAATACTTTTGAAATCTTGAGAGTAAGTATAAGGCTTGTAAATACATAGAACAAATATTAAAAAGAAAGAAGGAAAAAAATTAAATTTAGCACCAAGCTGCTAATTTTTCCAGGTTGGACTCAAACATGTAATCTTCCTGACTCAGCTTCCCAAGAGAGCTGGAATTAGAAGTGTGTGACACTATGCCTGGCTGCAAAGTTTTTACTTTTGGCTACAGACGTTTTGTTGTTGTTTTTGTTTGAAGGTTTTTAAAAAAATTTTTGAGACAGGGTGTCACTTGGTAGTCCAGGCTGTCCTTGGGCTGACTAGGTAGGCCAGGCTAACCTCATGATGATCTTCTTCCTCAGCCTCCCAAGTGCTGAGATTACATGCACATACCTGGCTTTTTTGTTTTTTACTGAGTTTTCCTTTGCATTTTTGGATTTCCAACCATGGGTATGTATTATCCGTTCAGTTAAATCATTAAATTTAAAATGTAATGAGGGCCAGGGATACAGCTCAGCAGCACAAGTGCCTGCCTGGCAAGTGCAAGGTCCTGAGTTCAGTTCCCTGTGTCAATAAATAAATGAATAAATAATAGAATGAACTCCTGGGAGACTGAGATAAGGGGATCAAAAATTTGAGGCCAGCAGAGTATAGGGGTGTATCCATGTAATCTCAATATTCTGGGAGGCCGAGGCAGGAGACCTGCAAGTTTAAACCCACTCTGAGGAATTTAATATGTTAGCAAGACACTGTTTTAAAATTTTAAAAAGGAAAAAAATAAAAATAAAATTTATAAAAGGGCTGGGTGTATAGCTCAGTGAGGAACCCTGGGTTCAATCCCCAGACAAAAGAAAACAGATAAATAGACAGATACATACATAGATTCAGGGCCAGCACGGATCACATGAGGAGTTTCAGACCAGCATGGGTTGCAAAGAGCGGCTCTGAGACCCTGTCTCCTAAGGCAGCCAAGCCCTGGGGGCCGCAGCAGGCAGCAGGGGACCGGCTGTTGAGCCGGCCATGAGTACAGGAAGCTAACAGAGGCAGCGGCTGGGGGACTAGTAGAGCTCTGTCCCTTTGGGAAACCTAAAGCAGTTTTGCTCCGCTGTCTTGCAGACAAACCTGTGAGAAAGTGAGGAGCCTGGGAAGGGGGAAGGGGCCAGAGCCTGCTGGCCAGCAGCAGCAGGAGGGGTCCGGAGGCCATAGGAAGAGTAGCAGTGAAAGGGTGGGATAGGCCAGGATGTGCTTGCACCCGGATGGGATGGGGCCAGGGGACAGACACCTGGCTGGAATGTCACACTTTCCCTCATGAGGGAACCCGCGTGTGAACACCGCAAAGAGCAAGATAAGATGTGGACACAGGGAGCCAGAGACACAGATCTTCTGCATGGGAAGGGAACCCAGGGACGGGACGGAGGGGACATAAAGGTCTCTGGATGTGTCCTGTCCAGGGACCGACGACGCGTGACATCGTCAGGCACTGCAAATGCTCGCTAATAAATAATTTGACTTTTTTGAGACAAACAAGGGCGCCGTTCTGTATGGACTCACTGTGTGCACACCCGTCCACCCTGGGTGTCAGCCCAACCCCCAGTCCCCTCGCCAGATCAGAAGGGAGGTGCAGAGAAGGCTCAGGGCTGGCGGGTGACAGACAGCAGGGGGACAGCCCCGTTCACGCCCTCAATCCATCTGCAGGATGCCGATGTCACACATGAGTCGCTGTGTCCTGTATTAAGAAAAAACACGAGGAAGAAGATTCCAAGAGAGAAGACGGCGTTTGAGTTTAAGGTTTCTGTGCAATTCCTAACTAGGTGACTACAACAGGTACCTACAGCCGGCCGCGGCAGGGCAGGGCAGGCATCCTAGCACTGTGGGAGGCTGAGGCCTGGGGAACCTGTCAACTTACCAAGACCTTGGCTCAAAATTTAAAACAAATAAAAAGGGCTGGGAATGCAGCTCAATGCGAAGGTCCTGGGTTCAATCTCCAGTAACACACACTCAAGAGAAACAGGCGTATACATGTATATGCCTGTATGGAATATATGTGTGTGGGGGACAGAGACAGACGGGGACGGAGAGTTCTGAGCTGAACACACTGATGCAGACATCGCTGACACATACGTGGAGCCTGAAGGCAAAGGACTAGATGAGCTGGGGTGGAGCTCAGTGGCACAAGTGCCTGCCTGAAAAGTACAAGGTCTTGGGTTCGAGTCCCTGTGCACCCCCCCTCAACAAAGGAGTAGATAAAACCAAATTGTTGTGTTGTATGAAAGGAGAGGTTAACACTCCCCTTGACAAAGATGGAAGAGGCCCTTAGGCCTGACAACACCCATATGGTTAAGGCATTGCCACCTACTTTGTGGCATCTAACCACTGTCTTTGGTAATCACGATTCCCCATTACATTGTTCTGAAGCTTTATAATGTTTGCATTCATTAGTTGGAATGGTTTTATCCTGGGTTGTTTGACTCTATTATCTGTGATGGTATGAACAGCTATTTTAAAGAAAACAAGATTTAATAGCCAGTGCTGATTTAATATCATCTTGCTCTGAAGTCCTACCATGCTTTTGTTCTGTTTCCATTGGTTCTATAGTGTTGTATCTTATTGGATTTTATTATGTGTGATAGTATAAACAAATTTTTTTTTGTCTTTTTCTTTTTTATTGGTACCAGGGATCCGAACTCACGACCACACACTTGCAAGGCAGGTTCTTATGCCGCTGAGCTAAATCCCCAGCCCCAGTATAAACAAATTTTCTGAAATGAGGTAACATAGTAGCCATTGTTCATTTTCTGTTATTTGGTTCTGAATGCCCTGTAATACTTTCATTCTCTTAAATGGTTTTATACTATTTTTTTATGTTTGATACTATTGTATATAAAGTTATGATCAACTATTTCAAAGAAAGAGACATTATGTAATCCCAACACTCGGGAGACTGAGGCAAGAGGATTGTTGCGAGTTCAAGACCAGCCTGGGCTACAAAGTGAGCTCAAGGCCGGCCTGAACTGCATAAAGACCTTGTCTCAAAAAGACAAAAAAAAAAAAAAAAAAAAAGGGAGGGGGTCATTATGTTACTGTTAATTACGGGTTGTCTTGTGGTGAAATACTGTGTTGCTTACATTGTTCTCTTCCAATCTGCTTTGTTCTGCTCTCTTTTGTCTTAATCTCTTTAAAATAAAAAAACAAATTGTTATATGCTAAGAGAAAAAGAGGAGACAGGCTGGTATTTTTATTTTCTTTGTGATAGAATCTCATTCTGTTGCCCAACCTGGTTGTTCGGTTTTGTTTTGGTACCAGGTATTGAACCCAGGAAGGCACTGTGCCACTGAGCTACATTACCACCCCTCTAACCTGGTTTTGAACTCCTGGACTCAAGCAATCCTCCTGACTCAGCCTCCTGAGTAGCTGAGAATGCACTGCGCCTGGCTACAACTTTCCCAGACAGTTTTTTAACCAGCTAAGTGTCCACCACAGCTGTCTCTCAGCTTTCACTGAAAGAAAGAACTCCGGCTTGCTTAGGCCACTACTACTCAGGATTTTCCATTTCTGCAAGCCCAGACCAAAGCTGCCACGCAAGGACTCTTAGTGTGGCCCCAGCAGACACTTCTTATCACAGTGATTTAGAGAGGACCCCGGCAAGGCCTGGTCCTTGGTGAGGGTCCGTCCCAGCCCTCTCCATTAGTTCAACCCCGAAATGCATAAAGGCTCTCCCTAAACTCCCCTCCCAGGGCCCTCTGGGAGCAGCTGCTGACTCCGCCCACCTCGGGAGGCAGGAGAAGGGCCCAGGACACCAGCAGCTCCAGAGGCCCAGGGAGAAGTGGCTTCTCCCGAGTTAAGGTTGGGCCTTGAGATAGAGCAGTGATCCTCCTGCCTCAGTCTCCCAAGTGCTGGGATTATAGGCATGTGCCACCATGCTTGATCCTCAGCCTCCTTTCTTAAGGACAACAGTAAGACAAAAAAGAAAGAGATATTCAGAGAAAGAACATTCAGTTTTGAAAGGAGAGGGAGCAGGAGATTGAGAAAACTAGGACTACATGACAGATTTAAGATTGCAGGTCTAGTGCGGTGGCGCAAGCCTCTAATTCTAGCACTCAGGAGGCTGAGGCAGGAAGATTTACAGTTTCAGCCCAGCCTGGACTACACAAGTTTGAAATCAACTGAGCTACATAGTGAGAAGCTGTTTCAAAACACAACAGAGTTTAAAAAAAAATCAGTATAAAGGTAAATGCTGGTAATCTCAGCACTCACAAGGCTTTAGCAGGAGGCTCTGTACTATTTCCAGGCCAGCCTGGGCTACACGGTGATCAAATCCAGCCTAGACCGAAACAAGATCCTGTCTCAGAAAACACAACAGTTGGATGTGGTGGTGCACATCTACAATTCCAGCTCTTTGAAGACTGAGGCAGGAGGATCATTGAGAGTTCGAGGCCAACCTGGGCTACCTAGAAGGTTCAAGGGCATCCTGAAACACAGCGAGACCTTGTCTCAGACACATACACAACCCATACTAGGAAACATGACTTTCTCTGCCATGTTCTACACATAAATCTATGTGTAGAAATCAGAAATGGTTGGGGGTTGGGGACATAAGATAAGAGGATCTCAAATTTGAGTCCTATCTGGACAATTTAGCAAAATATATCTTAAAATAAATAAGAAGGGCTGGGGATGTAGTTCAGTGAGAAGGCCCCCGTGCAATCCTAGTACCACAAAAAAAAAAAAAAAAAAGAAGAAGAAAGAAAGAAAAAAAAGAAAACCCTGTGTTTCCTTTTCTTTCTTTCTTTTTTTTTTTAAAGACAAGATTTCACTCTAGTTCAGGCTGGCCTTGAACTTACTTTGTAGCCCAGGTTGGCCTCAAACTCCCAGATCCTTCTACCTCAGCCTCCCAAGTGTTGGGATTATAGGCATATACCACCACATCCATGGAAACCCAGGATTTCCATGTGGAATGAAAACAAGAGTTTTCCTGTGGGATGTCTGGTTTGAAATTTTTTTTTTTTTTTTGTCTTTTTCCTTTTTATCGGTACCAGGGATCGAACTCACGACTGCCTGCTTGCAAGGCAGGTGCTTATGCCGCTGAGCTAAATCCCCAGCCCCTGAATTTTTTTTTAATAGGTACTGGGATTATGCACTGAGCTAAATCCCCAGCTGGCTTGAAATTTTTTAAAGTAATTAACAGATGGTGTGATTGAGTACACTAATTCCAGCATTTAAGAGGCTGAGGCAGAAAGATCTCCATGAATTCAAGGCCAGTTTGGCCTACAAAATGAGTTCAAGGCCAGCCTGTACTGCATAGCAAGACCTTGACTCAAAATTTTTTTACTAATATATAATAAATATTTAAAAAATCAAGATTTTAAAGTATTATAGTTCAGATGATAAATTGTACCCTCTGATAAACATATATATTTATTTATTTCTTCCAACACATAAAGCTCTCACTGATTCCCACACAAGAACTCTGCAACCACCCCTCCCCACGTACCCATTCTTAATCTATCCTTTCCACAACCACCCACTGCCCACAGGGGCCAGGTGTGATGCTGCCAGTGAAGTAAGGGGAAAGGTGACAGTCAGTACGCAGTGGTGGCACAGCAACAAGATGAAGACCAGGGACCATTCTGAAACAGGGGGCTGTGACTCATGGCCAGGCTGCCCTTGGGGCAGTGACTTCCTCTGGGGGCCACCAGATAAGGGCGCTTGCCTGGCCCCCAGCACCAGTCACTCATCTTCCCTAACAGGGACAGGAGGTCCCTTCCAGGACACAGCACTGGGTCCGGGCTGCCTGTCCCATCCCTGCCTTCCGGGGGTGTTGAGGGCAGCAGGTCACCTGTGGCCTGGAAATGAGGCGAGGCTCAGTGCAGGTAAGTCCCGGGTACTCTAACCCCTGCCCAGGCCAGCAGCACCCAAAGGCGGGCTCAGCCCGAGAACTCGCCGGGACTTCTCAAGCCTCACTGCTCTGTTCTGCCATGGAGACTGCAGGGTTTTTGGTTTCTCCCAGTGCTCCCAGTACTGGAGCTCGAAGCCAAGCCCCTCACACACTGAACTACATCCACGGCCCTTTTTGAGACAAATTCTACTTCTGTCCTGAAATTGCCCTGGCAGGACTCAAAAGTGTGATCTACCGGCCTCAGCCTCCCACAGTGCTGGGATCACGGGTGTGGGTCACCAGGCCTGGCTGAGATTCCAAGCTTAATGTAAGACCATCACCTTGGTCCTTCTGAATTGGGACCCGTGTTTGCCTCCAGGGTCACAGACTGCAGGAAAGTTAGCTCTCCTCTTGCCTAGTCACTGCTTTGAGTTGAGTGAGTTATTGCTTTGATTTAGTTTGGTTTGGATTTTCAAGACGATGTAGTTCAGGCTGGGCCTGAACTTACTATGAAGCTCAGGTTGACCTCAAACTCTTCAACGTTCTTCCTGCCTCAGCCTCCCAGTGCTGGGATCACAGGTGAGTGCCACCATTCCTAGCTCAGTTGGTTTCTTTTATGGTCTACCTACAGCCTCTTGCATACTAATAACTATGTGCTCTATTACCAAACAATACCCCAGTCAACTGCTTAAATTTGAAATCCCAAGGCAGATGGCTTTTAAACCGGGCATGGTCACCCTAAGACACAAATGCACACAGTAGTCAGAGCTGTTATGGGCAGAATCATCAATGTCAGCAGACTGCACTGCACAGCTTCAGTCCATGGCAGAGGGGCCCATGCTGCTCACAAC